ATGGACCAGGCCAGATTTTGAGGATCATTATGAAGTAAATATGTCATCCTGAGGGATGAAAATATAAAAAGCTGCAGCTCCTCTAAACCTGAATGTTACCAGGACACCTCTACACTGGAATACAAAAATGCTGCTCCCAGACTGCAGAGGGACATGGGTGACTTCCCCACCAAATACACAAATCTTTTATCAACTTGGATGCACAATTAAGCTAAACATGCCTCCAACAAAAGGTAAAAAACTACTCCTTGGGTGGTGTCACAGCTGAAAGCAGAGCAGTAAAGGCTCCCGAGCATCCTGAGTGATCAATCCCATAAGAGACATTCTCCACTAAGCTTTGTTCTGGCAGCATTCCCACTATTGGAGGGAGGAAATGCACAGCTGGATGCAAAGCTTGCAATGCAGAACTGCCTTAACTATATGGCAGGAGGATGGCAGCTCGTAATTAATTTTCCACATCAACTGTTGGCTGCCCTCCTCTTCCTCTCTGCTAGGCTGCAAACTGTCAGTGGATACTTAGCCAGAAAGCAGGCCTGCCACAGAGCAAAAAGCATGATTATTATTAGTATCTTGCAGGGCATGCTAGCCAAAAATCAGAGGTAAGGGAGCCTGGGCAGAGTGAGAGCAGTACCAGTGCAAAGGCAGCCCTGCCAGAAGCTGCTTGTCCTCTGAGAGATGCAAAACCAAAGGGAACAGAAAAGCAGGATGAAGAGATCAAAACAGATAGGAGAAAGTTGCAAGAAGACAGAGAAAATCTGTTCTCAGACAAAGGTTTTGAGCCAGCTAATTTCAAAACATCTGCAGCCCAAAGAAATATAGGCCCTTTTCTACCCTGGCTGGACTCTGCCTAAGACAGGGGCTGCCAAGCAGCAGCTCTGCAGAGGACAAGAGGCTCCAAACTGCTTTGACTTCTGAGAGAAAGAATGTGTGCAGCACTCAGAGCCAGCAATTCCACTCCTCAGCCTCCAGGTCTCTTCAGACTGGAGTACAGAGTAATTACAAGGAGGCTGCTGCTCCTCGCAGGGGAAAGGTCTCCAGAAGAAAACAAAGCCCAGCTTCATCACGCTCTCTGAAGCACCACTACAAACACCAGAGGGCAGAAGGCAGAGCCACAAGCTGGAGCAAGGCCATTTGAATGGCTTCAGACAGACCCACTGACTTCTCAGTACTTCAGGAGAACAGGTAAAGCACTATTATATTTCTGTTCTGTGATCGGTATCTTAAGAATCTCATGTTAGTATTGGAGTTTCTTATTTTCTTTCAGAAATTCAACTTGGTTCTGCCGCTGCTATCACCTCTTTAATTCATTTTACAACAAGATATTTGTTATCAGAAATTGTGCTTTGATATGTGTCAGGTTGATGGATTCAATAAAAGCCCTGTGAGGAGAAGCTGAGTGAATGGGGCTGCAGAAGTGGCGTCATCAAGGGAATTGATACCTTAACAGCCAGCCTGCTGATCTTGCAACAAAAACTTGCAAATACAATAGCTGTTTTATTTCCTCACCCTGGCAAAACAGTCCAGAGCAACATTAGAAAACATTTGCATAAATGTTACTCATGCAAACAAGCTCAGCCTGCTCCCTGATAAAAAACATAATGTAAAACACGATCCTGCATGCTGTCCTCTTGTCCTGTTTGGTGTGCAAAATTCTATCTAGGGGAATAAAGGCTTTAATCAAAATACAGCTCTTAATTTAATTTTGGGAATTCAAGCAGCAATCCCGTGATGCTCCAACTAAAATTTTCCCAATATAATGTTGGAGGACAATTTTACTGACAAATTTTCAGACACAGCCACCCGTACCCCTCAGCAAAGACACTGGAAAGTTGCTTTAGGGTCTTACTGTGAGAGCCAAACCCACAAGCATATAATATCAGAGGTTTTTTTCCTGATTTAAGAAATAAAATAGTATAAGAAACAAGAAAAATTTGAAGAAAGAAAGAGTAAGTTTTCATCAGACCACATAATGCATTGAATGAGAGAGGGAGACCTGCCCACTGCTCTGCTGCAGGTCAAGCAGGGCTTGCAGTCTCTGCTTCACCTGATCAGAGCATCACAGCTGCAACACCACCCCTGCACTGGCCTGGGGCACAAAGAGATTTTTTTTTTAACTGGAACTGATTTACAGAACATCCGGAAAAGGTAAAAAAATGTGATGTTGAAATTCAACTTTCAGAAATGAAAAATAATATTACTAGTCTAAACAAAGCAAAGGGAAAACTTCCATAGCAATTAATCTGAAAAAGGTGAATTATATAAAGGATTTATGTTCATGTAATGAAGACAATTAATTGCTATGAGAGCCATAAAACACATTAAATGAACAGGCTTTTTTTCAATTCTACTTGCAAGATAAAATTTATTAACTGTGTTGAATGGCTACTTAAAAATTTCTCTTACATATTTATTAAAAGTGCCTTTTCAGCCAAACAGACTATTTTACTAACCAGATTCTACTAATCCAAAAATGAGCAATTTCAGAAAAAAACTACTTCTCCACACATTATCTGCAGATCCATTTAAACTAATTCCTCATGCAATAAAATTACCATCAGCACAATTTCATAAATGTTGCTAAAAGGGAAATCTGCTCGTCTCACGTGAGCAAACACTCTGCTGCGAAGATGAATGAATTCAGCTCACATAATTTGAACAGATGTTTCAGTTTTCAGTAGAGATAGGGAGGGAAACGTTGAGTCCTGATGTCATTAAATGCTACTGTAATCACTTAATTAAAACCCTCTCTACTTGGGAGAGCGGGACACATGGAAGAAACTGGATTAGGTGGGAGCAGTGACCTCAGAAAGATCCATAACTAAACCTTGTGCTCAGCCAGGGCTGTGTGCCCCCAGCTGTGGGGGTGGGATGCAGTTTGTGCACTAAGACTGCCTGAAAATCAGGGACAGATGTTTGCCACTTAAAAGTGACCTAGAAGTGATTCTGTTCCTTATTCACCATTTACAAAGTGGGGATAAGCAGCACTTCTGCCTTACAAGAGTGTTGTGGGAACAGATAAGTTGATGGAATTCAAGTAGTCTGGTAGTCACCTGAGATGAAGAGAATCAATAAGGAAAGACCTCATCTACTCAACTGAGCAACGAGAGTTTGGCCAAATCTTTACAGTTTAGCACAACCTTCTCAAAGTGCAATGTTCTTCTTAAAGAAGTTTCCAGAAGTGTGAGATTTAAACAAGAACCAAGTTTTAAATCTGATGGTCACAAAGTAAAATGCAGAAGTATGAAGTCCAACCTAGACTATTATTTATGCCTTAATAATAGTTTCACACAAATCATGGACCTTACAGTGAGACTTGGATTGGCTCAGGAATGACAGGAGAGCTCATTTACTGCCCCCACCCAAGGAAGGAGCAGCACCACCACCAACCAACATCTCTGGAGCAGATCCTCACATGCCCTGGGACACCCTGGGTACCCAGCAAAACTCACTGCAAGGAAGATTTACATATTTCAACTCAAAAATCTCAAACCCAAAGAAGGAATAAACAAAACTGCTGTGATTTCTATATTCTAACAGTGCCAAATTTTTCTCTGCGAGAGTGCAGAAGCTCTCTTGATTACGAAATACCTCTCCTACAACCTTCCCTTTAAGTGTTATAATCACAAGAGCAGTAGCTTGGAAATAAACAGGAGTGAAGAGGATAATAAAGGCAGGAGCAATGTCTAACAAGCTCTTCTTCCAGAATCCAGAGCAGGCAGACAAGCAGAGCTGTGCTGTGCTGTAATGATGGGAACCTTGCCCTGGCAACCGTGTTGTTTGCTTGAAATTCCTGCACAAATTAACAGCATATGCTGTGGTTGGAACAGACCTTTCTTGACCCTCAACATTTAAAAGTTAAGCACCCAATTTAAGCTATTCCAACCAACTTTTCCTTGCAATTGCCAGACACTGGCAGAGCTCTGCTGGAGCTCCAGAGTTAGAGCCCACAATTTCCAGTGCTAACATGACAAGTGCAACCAGATCAAACACAGGAGAAGTATGCACACTCACCTGCATTGCTATTTATTTTAGAGGCTTTTAAGAAGTCTTGACTTCTTTTCCCCTGCTCCTCCACTAACAACAAGCACAGGTGTTATATTGCTACTGTACTTTTCTCAACAAGATTATAGTGCTGGTTCAGTCATATGAAGGAAGTCAATACCCATGTGCTAAATGAAAAAGGATAATATCATCTGATACCACTCTACTGAGATCTGGGAACTATTGCTTTAAATCTTTTCCTTGCCCTTTTTTTTTTTTTTTTTTTTTTTTTTCAAAAAACTTTGCCTTCACAGAAATATTTTTTTCTAGGCAAAAGAAGCCATAGAATCAGAGACTCTATTACCTTAAAATCTCATCTAGCATGATCTTCATCAACAATATGTCCTGGCCTTCAGTTTCTTGTTAGAAAATGGTTGCATATTGCTTTGCTATAGTTCCAGCATAGCCAGGGCAACATCTGTGTGGGTATGGGAACACTCACACAGGCAAAAATTTTAAGTGCTACACAACAAAGGGGGAATACAATTATACAGGAAATTGGTAGTGGTATTTCCATCCTTTGCACACAGTGAGAATATACAGAGCACAAAGAAAAGCACAGGGCTAATTATAAATGGGCTACTTAATTTCCTTTTATATTCCCCAACTCTGACCCTCAGAATTATAGTAATTAGTGAAACACAACAAGTGGGATTTTCAAAACATGGATTCCTATCACCAAGGATCCATCACCAGAAGCAACACACAACCATCAGCAAGCATTTCGTTTAATAAAGAACTTCACATGAACAGACACCCCCTCAAGCCCAAGACAATAAAAACACTTCACTCCTGGTGAACGCTTTCTAAATTCAGGGAGAGCAAAGCTTATTTACAGACACAGTATGAGCATGGCATGAATACAGCAATAAACTCAAAGGCTGCTAACGCTCTGTTTTCCCCACATGTAGATACTCAGAAAAGAGCAAAAATACAAGAGCAGGGGAAAAAATACATACCTTACCAAACCTGACTGTTGGACACGACTCGTTTCAGAGCAACATTGGGGTGAAGGCAAGTTCCTCAGGCGACCACCAACCACAATTCCCTTCCGAGCCCCGCAGAGGCTCCAGCTCTCCCTTGCCCGTGTCCCTGAGGAAGATGCAGTGTCCTCCAGTATTTCAGAGCCTCAGCTGCAGAGGATGCTGCTCAGAAAAAGAAAAGAGAAGAAGGTGTGGCATTAAATTCTAGGGTCAGTTGTCTGGCAGATTCAGAGCAGAACACAAGACAACATTGGATAGGAATGAAATGTCAAGGCAGGACAGAGAGTCTGTGACAATCCATCATGTGTGGCACTTTCAGAGGGCAATCACTGAATTCAAGAAATGTGGTGCACAGCTATTCTTGCTTTACAGTACTTTCATAGTGTCCCTAGACCAGGAAATGAATGACAGCCCGGCTGCTTTTTATTCCAGTCCAATATTGTAACACAAAAGTAAGTAATGCACTTCTCCATAGGGAATATTTTAATTCATTATGGCATTTCTGAAGAATAACAGGACTTTCATATTAAAAGCAGAGACATCACCTCAGTCTTAATACTCTGCACGATAAAATGGCTCTTACTCAAGAAATTCAAAGCTTTGGAGCTCACAGCAGATGGGAAGTCGTGACTGCCAGCCCAACACGCTGCAGTTCCCAAAGTTCTGCCTCCAACGCAATTGTCAGAGACTAGGAAATGTCCTGGGGTTTTCTGGGTGCAGGGGGCTCAGCATCACCACATTTTCTAGCCCGCTGCCACTGCTAGAGATGCTCAGAGTTTCCAGGAGGTCAGACCCTGGCACTGAGCAGGGATGTGGGGCCTCGCTGCAGACACCAGGTGAGAGACGGCGATGGAGGCGCCCACCAGCAGAAACCTCACAGCAGCACTGGGAAGTGCAAATGCTCATCCCCAAGCCCTGGCAGATGGGAAACACTCAAAGGATCATCCTATCACCATCCACATAATACAGCCTGTGAAGGAAAATAGGCACAGCAGCACAAAACAGGTGAGGACTGAGGAGAGAGCAGGATCTGAGCTCCCTATGTCAGATATATCCATCCTTAAACCACACCCAGAGATGCTCTTCTAAGATTAACTCCGAAGCCATGAAGATACTCTGACTTTGCCTAGGAATTTTATAAAAAGCAAAGGGAAAAAACACCAGATATACAACAGGTTTCCCTCACAGGAGAAAGCCCGTAGCAGTTCAAAGTACCACAAAATCCCATTAGACCTTCATAAGAAACCCTGAACCCACAAACAGGTTACACCTATCTGGAAAACACATTTTGGGCTTGCAAGAAGGAAGATTTCAGCAACCAGCACATGAAACTGTACATACTGGAAGTTAGCATCACAGTGCCTTTTATACAGATATATATATATACACACACACAAATGTACATAATGGGTTTTTTTCCTGTTTTGTTAAGTCCACACGGCATGCATAGACACACAGATCAGAACAATCAAATAAATTTGCTTTGTTTAGCACTAATTACTTTACTGGACCTCTTATGTTCCACACACCCCTGAAGGCTCCACAACACCTTGGGGGACACCCACAACAGGAGCCAGGGTGGCAAAGCTCAGCCCTGTGATTGTTGTACACGCTTGCAGACTTCCTGGCCTCTCTTGAACTCCGACAAGAAGGACAAAAGTGGACCTGCAGTTCCTGTCCTCTTCCAGGCCAACCATAAAAAATCAGACTGCCAACTGAAATGGCTGCTGAGTGCCCACAGGAATGGCTGATGCAGCAGTAAGACCTAATTCTACTGCTTTTAAGGGATTTTATCTCTGGAGACCACAGCTACAATTACTTTTTCATTTCTACTTGTAAATTGTAACATAGAATAGTCACTAAAGAATATCAGTGCTACATTTTTGTGCATTAACCAGAGCATCAGCTGGGTAGAGGAAGTAACAGCAATAGGACCAGATCATCACAGCAACCTGAGCACAGGGTCTGGGCTCAGGCTGGGGAAGGGGGGGTGTGAATGTTCCTGTTCAGCACAGTTTGCCAGAGAGTAAGTAGCATTGTGAAGAAGAAGTAATGGGAGGTGTGGATGTGGAGGTGAAAACAACTTTATTCATGACAAAATGCAGTGAGTGTGCACAATTCCCATCTCTCATGATATAACTGAGATGGGGCAACTTAATGAAATTAAATCAATGGCCAGGTTTCCAGGGAGCAGCAAAGTGTAGATGCTCCAGTGTGAAGGCAGTGTGCTTCCTCCATGCTCTGGTGATGTGTACCACACAATAATGCAGGGAGCCAGGCCAGGGACCATCCTAGTCAGCAATAAAGTAAAAGATAAATGCATGGAAACCCTCATGAGCTATAATTTGTGTTGGCTCTGAACCATGCAAGGGAAAAAAAAAAAAGAAAAATATAATTTTTTTAAAAATGCCATTTGTGTTGCCCAAAGCTTTGCAGAAAAACCCCTTCACATTCAGGAGGTCACTCCTGACCTGATGGTCAGTGTCCACCTGGTTTCCCTCTCACAGCAGAGCCCATCACAGAGCTGCCAAGATGTTTCTTGCACCTCCTTGGCTTTGGGCAGCTCTTGCCAAGCCCAGAGCCTCGGGAGCACCCCACAGCTGCAGAGTGAGATGAGGTTGCCCAAAAAAAGCTGTGGATTACCATCCCTGGAAGTGTCCAAAGCCAGGCTGGACAGGGCTTGGAGCAGCCTGGGATAGTGGAAAGTGTCCCTGCCCATAGCAGGAGGTGGGACTGGATGGTCTTTAAGGTTCTTTCCAACCCAAATCCATATGATCCCTGACACAGAAATCATCCATTTAAGCCTGTACCTGCTGTAGGAGCTGGCACTGTTCCTACCTGAAACAAAACCAAGTCTGAACTTGCAAAAAATGCCCCACGTCCTAGGAATGCCACAGTCTGGTTGTGTTGTTTCCAAGTTGCTGTGCTCCCCCACTCTCTTTGATCAGAGGGAACACGTCGACAAACTGCAAATTACTTTCATTATCCCACCACTTCAGATTTTTACATTCAGTTAACATAGTTAAGTAGTATCAGATCCATCTTCCACTCACAAAAGCCAGCATATGGATGTTCTCATTAATCAGAAAGGGCAGACAAGACATTTTTCCAGTAAAAAGAGACTATTTCTCTTGGAGGAATCTCAGTCCTTTGCTGATGGAAAGCATGAATTATGCAAAATAACTGTATATTTTAGACGTAACAAATAAGCTTAAATATTAAATCTGAGGACACCATTTCTATCTTGGGATGTTTCCAGGCCACAAATCAATGAAGTCTGGGAGACTTTCTGTCTCTCAGGAAGCCTTGCAGTACCTTTGCCCTCTTCTTAATTCTTGTCTTTAGGCATCAACTGTTGATCCCTGCTGGGGTGAGGACAGGAGCTGGCTGGACCCTCCTCTGACCCAGCACACTCACCCTTATATTTGTATGCCAAACAGCTTAAGGTGCAGCCTGGGCCTTGTGGCAACATTGATGAGCATTTGCAAATTCACCAAGGGCAAAAAAGAGGTATCGAGAAGCTAAACAACACATCTGCGAGCAAGTATTACAGTGTAGTAGATATTCTAATTAGTGTTAGTTTGTCTTATCAAATATTAATTACAATCTACCTAACTGCAATTAAATAAATTAGTTGGGCGGTGAAAATATTAAATATTTTAAGTGGCTGGTGACGAATAAAAATAATTGAAAAATAATTGAAAATATAACTCCTTGCTTAAATATTAAATTTCTTTTGCTTTTATTGCTAGTGTGGTCATTAAGAAATCAGAATTTCATAGGTGTGTGCATTCATGTAGATGTATATGACAAATATGGAACATGTTCATGTGTATTCTTCTAACTTCCCTCCTTCCCTGAAACTAAAATTGAGTAAGTATTTTCAATTAATAAAGAAGAGCTCCATTGGCAGAACCAGAAGAAAGGCTGTGAAACAAGCAAGGGAAAACACATTTTTACTGCTAAGTATTTAGCAAGGTCACCTGCCTCTGCAAAAGGCAGGAAAAGAGATCCCCCAGCAGACTCTGAGCATAGCAGGGGATTACACCAATTCATTAGCAGGTCTATCTCCTAATTACAGCCTGGACACCAGTCCCCACACAGCTGAGCAGGGAACAACTGCTGCTTTCTGCTTTTTCCTTGGGATCAAACTCAGAGTTTGCTGCTGAGCCCCAGCACAGCCAGCACAGGCTCCAGCCAAGCCGAGCTCTGTTATCCCAAAGGATGCTCCTGACTCCTCCCAGCCCCAGTCCCAGGGGAAGCTGTGGGAGCAGCAGCTCTCCACGTCAGCTCCACCTCTGCTAAAGACTTCACATTAATTTACTGCGAAGGTGACACGGGTGAAGAAGGGGATAAAATGAAACTGAATCCTTCCTTCCAGAAGGCTAATGGTAAAAAATTGGGAGCAATGCAACTCTGGCAGATTTCCAACTATAACACTCAGAGTGTTGCCCACAGCAGTGTCCCAGCCACACTTTATCATTCACCATGGCTCAGTGCAAAACATAAATAAAACAGAAGTCATCAGCACTACTGGCACTCAGCTGTTTGGAGGCCTTTTTTTTTTTTTCTCCCTTCTCTGCCAACACAAAAAACAGTGAAATAGGAGAGCTGCAATTCAAGTGATAACACCCACCATTAGAAATTTGGTGGGGGCTGGTGGTGTGATAGGATATGAATTCAATTAAAGAAAGCAGGCAATAATAAAATGAAGAATATGTTGTCTGAGATTAATACAACAGAATACTGTGATGCTGCTGAACATCAGCATTGATTTTTGTTATCCAAGTACAAACTAATGGTATCCAGGTAAAAGGAAATAAGTGGTTAATCACCCTTGTTGAAGGAACTATCCCATTACAATGTAGCATCAATGTTACATTACCAGGTTCAAGAGTGTAATTAATACCTTGCTGTGTTAGGAAATGCTATGACACTGAACAGGTTTTGCTGCTGTTGCACATAAGTAAATATTTTCTGAAAATGAACCAAGAAATGCCATGGAAATACTTTCAGTTTGAAATATAAACTCCTTTCTTCAGTAGGCATTTGGTTTTAACCAAAGCTGCTCCCCAAGTTCAAAAGCATTAAGTTGCAGGTTACTGTCTAACTCTCCAGCTGCCAACGCTGCATTACACTATTAAGTGTTTTTATTATTATTA